CATAGCTACACAACGAAATTTATTTTGTGCCAATTAAAGCTCTGTGGGCTGAGATACGGGCGGTGACGTATATAAGAGATAACGCNTGGTGTCGATCGGAGCTCTCTGCGCGAAGTTACAGTCGGATTTTTTTGTGGTAGATGCAGTATCATACTGCTGAGCCCCCTTTTGAGCAAATCTCCGTAACCACTTATCGGATTTGACCGTCGAAAGGCTTGTGTGATTGGTGTGGGTCATAGCTACACAACGAAATTTATTTTGTGCCAATTAAAGCTCTGTGGGCTGAGATACGGGCGGTGACGTATATAAGAGATAACGCCACCGGTGACGTAAATAGAATCCTCCTTATTTATCGGGTGAGACTGTTTCGGTTATGCATTTACTTCACGAGAGGTCGACGACTGTCCTTCACATGGATGGATGAGAGAGGGAGTGCTCGAAGAGCGGCTCCCACAGCAAGGAGGGGCCCCGTGAATCATCGCGGTGCCCCCTACCAAACGGCAATCTTACCAGTCTGCGTGACACCAATCATTTCAGCACATGTATCCAACACCAATGTTCGCAGACCCACGAACACCCTCCCTGGTTCTTCACGCAAGTGACTAACCATCAATGGGGCAAGAACGCCCCTGGATACATCAGAAAATACCAACATGGTAAAATATGGAGGGGAAACCCGGCGTCCGGGCAAAACCTCTCCAAAAAAAACCTACCACCACAAAAACCGTCGCTATCACAGCGAACCACAATGGCCGCACTGATTAGAAAGGCCAAGGCGAAGACAAGAACGCGAGGAACTAGGTTCCCCCGGACGATGGTCTCCCAACGCCCCCTACTCCTGCCATTGGTACATAGATCGCAACAGTTATGAGCCGTTCCCCGCATGGAAAACATGACCTCTCCCAAGTGCTAGAAACTGCTACAGCTACTACGGCAAATTCATCAACTTGCGCCGGTGGTACTGCAGACTAGCCCTGCTAAGGGCCTTGGTTAGGAGGTCCGCGTGTTGCTCCGTTGTCGGAACGAACTTGACCGAAATATCCCCCGACCTAAACAATTCGCGGATGAAATGGAATCTCACGTCGATGTGTTTCGTGCGGCCTGAGCGGTGGGGGTTCTGCACCAACGCTATCGCCCCCTGGTTGTCCTCAAGGACCTGGATGCTGCTGCTACCACTGGTCTCCGGGGCAACAAACGAACGCACAGCACGCACAAACAACGCCTTCTTGACGCCCTCCCCGGCAGCAATGTATTCGGCTTCCGTCGAAGACAAAGACACGGTGCTCTGTGTCTTGCTACTGTTAAGGAGTGTGGCTGCTAGCATGAATAGGGTACATCTTATTGTTGATAGGATACGGGTCGGTCAGGAGGTATACCCTTCTGACCCCTACCCCGTTAGAATTGTCTACTCTGTGTACCCCCTGAGATGAAGTTGGATCCCCACTTCATCTCAGACCTTTGCTGATCGTCTCTCAGCAATAACAAGCAACTTTCCCATCTCAACGTGGTCGTGGACACAAGCGTGTCAACGACAGAACCTTCATCTGTCTCTAGGAGCAAGCCACCGCCCACGGCTTCACTCCTTGAAACTTGGCGTCAGCGGCAGGGCGCACACCCCATACATTGCGAAACTTCCGCCTTCTTCGCCGCAGTCCGTGTTCCAGCTTTTGTTCGCTCTCCGTCGTGCCACCTTTCATAAAGGTCCTCAAGGAACGTCGGTGGTGACACCTNGTATACCCTTCTGACCCCTACCCCGTTAGAATTGTCTACTCTGTGTACCCCCTGAGATGAAGTTGGATCCCCACTTCATCTCAGACCTTTGCTGATCGTCTCTCAGCAATAACAAGCAACTTTCCCATCTCAACGTGGTCGTGGACACAAGCGTGTCAACGACAGAACCTTCATCTGTCTCTAGGAGCAAGCCACCGCCCACGGCTTCACTCCTTGAAACTTGGCGTCAGCGGCAGGGCGCACACCCCATACATTGCGAAACTTCCGCCTTCTTCGCCGCAGTCCGTGTTCCAGCTTTTGTTCGCTCTCCGTCGTGCCACCTTTCATAAAGGTCCTCAAGGAACGTCGGTGGTGACACCTGATGGAGGACTCCAGCTGCCTCTTGCTCGTGCTGCCTCGAACAACGACTTCAAGCACGATCTCCATGCCCCCCGGCAGGCCTCTTCACGCCCTGCGCATGGTTCTGGAGAGGGCAAGGACTACAGTTGGTCGGCGGCTCCTGTGTCCAAGTCAAATCCCTTTTTTCGCTTTTTTTTATTGTATTTTTTTTTTTTGTAATGCTCTTATTGTGGGAAGGTATCTATCTGTCTAGTCTATGCATGCGTAGAAAACGCGACAAGTTTTTTTCGTTGGCAAAAAATCCGCTCCAAAATTGTGCTATGCTCGCGACCAGTGCCTGGGTAACGCTCCTCGCTGCCGACAGTCACTACAACACTAATCCTTTTGTTGTGTCTCTCACACGTAGTTTGTTTGCAACGCGTTATTATTTTTTCCTGGAACGCTGCTAGCAGCTGCTGATCATGCGCAAGGTAAGAGAAAAAATATGCAATAATGACGAGGAAGTTGGGAGACAAAGCACACCGACAGGAAAATGGTCAGAGGGGGACACTGCGTTGTGACAAGACCGCGGGAGGGCACTGCGACACACCTACCTGTGGGACACAGATAGGTGCCTGTCCAAGAGACGTACGCCGCCAACAACGACCGTTGTGATTTGCCGTGTGTGTGGCCGTGGGCGAAAGGGAAACGTTCGGTACATTAGTCTATCTGACTCTGCTGAAGCTCGAGGAGGTAGGCAAGCCGACAAGGAAGGCTAAGCGAGGTCAGCAAGCTGCGAACGCGCGTGTGCATGTGCGCACAACAAAGAGCTCTGTTTGACGGGGTTCAGCTCTCGGCGGGTATTTTTGGCTCGGGGTATTGCGCAAGGAGTTGCTTCCCTGCCTTGCTCTCTCATCTCTTTCAGTTGTGTAGCTGCGATAGCTGTACAAATCACGGTCCACAATTCAAGACAGGTGGTCCGTATGTCTCCTCCTGAGCCTCGGCCTTGCCACTCCCTTCCCACTGCCTCCGACCATCCGCCCAGGAGCCAGCCCAGCCAGCAGCAGCAAGCAGCAGCTAGCTGGCTGGCTTTACCGCGCCACGACCGAGCCACTATCCTCTTGACACACAACAGCCAGTACGGCAGGGGCTGCTCCTCCGCTGCTGCACTGCTGCTGCTACACTGCTGCTACACTGCTGCTACACTGTTGCTGCTGCTACATGTAGTTGCTCGGGTGCTGCTAGTAGCTGCGGCACTGCTGCTGTAGCCGCTGCTGCTGTTTCTGGTTTGGGTCGCGAAAAAACCCCCGGCAGATACAGGGACGTTGGGCCTCCATCCCCTGCTTTTGGCTCAAAATCCAAGGCCATAGATTTCACAACTCCTCAGGAACGGAGCGGCGGAATTACACTTTGCGGCACCAACTCTAAATCCTATATAGTTTATTTATGAATAGGCGTAGGAGGTCCCTTCATAGATGGGTCAGCCGCCTAGAGCGGTCGATGCAAAGAAGCAAACAAGTACCCACACGGTAGGTCATACACGCACCACAGCGACCCGTGTCAGCTACATATCTTGCGCATCTTCGGGTTCATCCATCCAGAAAGCTGCCTCGCCTTCCACCACGCTGCCCGGCGTCAGTCACATTCCACGACAAGACTAACGCTTCTGCTTCTCTCGGGTCAGCACCAACAGCAACAAGCATCACAGCAAAACCTGCCAGACATGCTATGTAACACACCACTTGCCAGCCCCACACGCCGCTTTCGTCGGGGCATTTTCTAAAACCGGGCCTACAATTACACTCTAGACACGGTTGCCAATCGGCACTAAGGTAAGATACCAAACCGCACTTGTCATTTTGACACGAACAGAAATTCAGAAAAATGACCACTTCACACTACAGTAACATCGCACTTTGACGGGGTGTGTTACAAACACTATTTAAACACACACCCCAACACAGTACACACGTAGGGAGACTCTACCATATAGACTTACAATGGTATTTGCATTTTTCGTACCACCTAAGCTGACAACAACATATTGGCCAGCCGGTTGGCACAGTCAACTCTAGCTAAAAAACGCACACACGACACCAGACACGCAGGCTTGAGAAGCGATGGAAGACCTCCTATTGTGATGGGAGACCAAACAGGACAAAAAAAAAAATGAAAGAAAACCAACTGCTGTATGCTCCACCTAGGGAACCTCTGAGGCGCTTGAATCACGACACGTGGCAGCTGGGAACAGAGGCGGCCAAAAGCGGTGCCGCCTCCGCTCTACCCCCACGAGAGGAAGGACTTGGTTTCCCTCCCCGAAGTCTCTCCTTGTCCCCCCCTCCTGATACCCTACCCCTCCCGTTCCTGTCACTATCGCCCCCGCCCGATACTCTCCCCCTCCCGCTCATATCGTTGTCCCTCTCGCATTCCCTCTCCCTGTCTTTGGCACCAAGAGATGAGGGAGCCGGCGGGAGGCCCCGTCCTCCATCCGCAAGCTTAGCATGCGCGGGAGACGGTCTGAAGGCGCAAAGTAAGTATTGTACGCACGAGATGGACGGCGGCGGACAATGATGCACGACGACTCGCGGCACGCATTAATGCGCAGACAGAATGAATTCCAAACTGCCGCCTTTGGCATATTTTGCAAGTCTACCGCCTTTCGCCGCAATACGTAAAACATTGACTCCGGCAGGGCCGCTGGGGTTTCACCATCCCCCCGGCGGATGCAAGTCTACGTATCTATATTGTATTGGCGACTCCGAGTACTGCAACCCCTGCTGCTGTGGTTCACGGCGAGCGCAGCACGATATGGGGGAAGGATGCCGTCCAACTGCGTATGACCCATGAGTCTCGCCCCAAAAATATGGCTAGACCCTTTTTCCCTCCTCCGAAGATAAGAGCACTACAGTACCGCGGTCGTGTGCACCGCAAAAGAGCAAGACTTACCCGCGCGAGCGATGCTCAGAGGATGCCCGAACTCCCTCGCAGTAGCAGCCGGCCAGGAGCAGCGTCTTAACCGCGTCCAGCCTGTCATGCGAGCTCGAAAAATTCCCCAGTTTCTCGTACAACTCCCGCAAGAGGGGGCAAGCCTTCGCCTCCCCCCCCTCCCTTCCTCCGTCCTCTTCGACGTCTTGCTTCTCCATGCCAAGGTTCAGGACCCTTGCAAGCAAAAGTCCGGCCTTGCTATCTTCAGGAATCCCTTCGCCGGATAGTACGTCGCGGGTATTGCCCCCACCCCCTGTCGCTAGTCCCTCCATGTCCGTCGAAACCTCTTCGTCCAGGCTCTTGAGAATGTCGGCTACCAGTCGCGTGATGCTGTCTAGATGGGCCTCCGCCCCCGACGACCAGATCAGGTTGGCGATATGCGCAGACTCTTCCGTTGGTTGCGCTCGGTGCTCGGGAAAAATCCCGCCATCGGGGGTGCTATGTACCGCAGGGCCAAGGCCGCTGACAAAAGCCGCGCTGTCTCTCTCTCCGCTGGGCGGTGTCTCTGCCGGCGGTGGCATCGGAGAACAAGCGGCAGAAGCAGCAGCAGCGTCAGCGGGGCACGACGATAGCCTCCTCGCCGCCGCCTGCACTGCCCGGGTCATACACATACCCACTGAGGAATGTGGCCGCCGCGCAGCGGCAGCACCAGAGCACTGATGGCCACTTCCCTGCGAGCGTTCATCATATGACCCAACGCTTTCTCCCGAGACCTGGGAGGCCGTGCCTTCCTCCGAAGCAGAGATCAGCTCGAAGACAGAGGAAGGTGGGAGATTATCCGGCTCTATCTCCGCTCCTCCTCCTCCTCCTTCTCCTCCTCTCCGCTGTGGCGATGACAGCTGGCAGTTGGTGACCGCCTCTGACAAAGCGTCTTTCAGAGCCACATGTATCGTCGTCGGAACTTCTGGGACGGCACCAACGTACGGGTAAATGAAAGGGGTGTCGGCGAAACACCGGGAATACAAACGTCCTCGCGCAAGAGGAGAATCATGGTCATTCTATCAAGAGCGTGCCCTCACAGTCGGCAAGTGCCGTTGAAATTTTACTACAGGTACCCCCCCTGTTGATTTTACATTCTGGCGGAGACCATTCTCCTGAAAACAAAGTGAATCTGTAGAGCCGGGGCATCTTCTTGCGTTGGTTAACAAAACAGCCCTACGGTTCTTCCAGCGTAGTGATTTTCACGGGGAGGGTTCAGCGGATCCATATGCCCCCATAACAACGAACGGAGAAAACGAACGAAGAAAAAAACGGCAATCCTCCCCCTCATCCCAAATATGACACCCGGAGCTCCGATTTTGGTCAACGGTCAACAACCAAGCAGCCTACCTAGGGTGTTCCTATGCTCACCAAGTTGCTCTATTTATGTCGCGGGGAGGGTTTCGCGGTCTCTGTGCCCACACAAAAAAGGAACGGCGAACAACGAACAACAAAAAAAGACGGGCAATCCTCCCTTCCCCCACAACACGACACGGGGAGCTTCGATTCCGGTCGACGTTCAACAACCAATCAGCAAACCCAATTTGTGTACAACCAGCATACCGAGGTGCAACGCGCAGAGAAGCTCGACGCAACACCAACCCCTCTCGACGTATCCTTCCACGTCTGTGTAGGCGAAACCCTCGGCGGCGCGAGTGACGGTTTCGGGGAGGACGAGCGCGTGGTCGCAGAAGCACCAAGCCTGCCGACGTTGCCACCAAAACGGTGTTAGAAGAACGCACCCATGCATATTTGTCAGACGAATAGCGCGATCGATGCAAATTAAAATCACAAACCAATTTCGAGTTATAATAGCTAACCGTGAGTGACGACATCTTTTCATTGGTCGCCCCGGTCAGCGCGCTCGACGCAACATCAAGAAACGCACACAATTCGGCTCTCAAGACTGGCAGCTTGCATTGATCTGCCGACCAGCGTGGTCAACGCAAACTAAGGCAACAAAAAAGCGGTACACAGGCACCAGAGAGTACTGTAGCGAGGGAAAGCGAGCGGGCAAAAGCAGGTCAAGACTTGATCGACATGAAACCGTCATCTGTGACGCGACGAAGAGGCGATACACGAGCGCAACACCAAGGCCGTGCGTCCGTCCGCTATCAAAACAAACGAAACATATGCATACAACTACGCAACGAGAGAGAACACGCCAGACAATAGGTGTTCAGAAACCAGCGGAAATATTCTGGTGGTGTTGGCTCCACATCAAAACCCATTCTCCTCAGTACCTTCTAGCATCCGTATCGGTCCAACTAAATCGGTCCAACCGACGCGAACGCCTTCACAGGCCAACCAGGTAGGTGGCTCACATCGACGACCGTACATACAAACACAGACACTCACGATTCGGCCTAGCGGAACCCACCGAGAGCTAACAAGCCGGGATTTACACCACACGTTCAAGACCACCACCAGTCGAGATGGGGTACAAGCAAGAAAACGAACAAACCACCACGGAAAGTCTTGGAAAGGCCAACTAACGTTGAGCCAAGGCTACCAACGCTATGTACCATTTGGTACCGATATCGCCACAAGCTCACAGTAAGAACGTTGTCGAGGTGGGTCTGGAACGCCGGTCTCATCCGATTGGAGCTGGTGCACGAGAAGGACAGCCACACGTACCCAAACCCCTCGTCCGCGGAGTCCCCCCCTTCTGCGCTACCCCCTCGGCCTTTCCCACCATCCGCGGAGCCTGCCGTGGCCTTCTCGTCGAGAAAGCGACGAAGGGCTGAGAATTGCTTCCCGGATGGGTCCGGGTTGCCCGGAGACTCCCAGGGGTGGGTCACGAGCAGCACTTGAGACTGCGGGGAGATGTCGCTCGCGGCGACGAGCTGCTTCTTCCGGCTGGCGTCGTAGTGGGACGGGAAGCGGCCCACGTCGAGCAGGACGGACACCGGCAACAGGTACACATTTTCGAGGGCCTGGGGTTGGGGGGGTTGGGGG